TGATACCAAAACGCTGATCTATTTTCATAACCTGATGGTGACCTGACGGAAGATCGGCTGATGGGGGGGGGGGGGGGGGGGGGGGGGGGGGGAGCAAGCTGCACCGTAGCGTGGGGTCAACCTGTTACACGACGCCATTGACGCAAGACTGGTCTGCTTGGGCTATTTCCGACCCTAATCTGCGTCATCGACCCAGACTTCAGACTTCATCTACAGTTGTCGTCAGCGGAGAGTTCTTTCTTCCCACAGTGGTGTTATATTTTTATTGTCCTTGGTATGTACATCACGAGACACACGTCAAATAGCAACAGGTTACTGCGTTAACATAATCGAATCATCTCTCTCTCTCTCTCTCTCTCTCTCTCTCTCTCTCTCTCTCTCACTCTCTCTCTCACACACATACACACACACACACCAACACACACACACACACACACACATTGTCTAGATGCAGTCGGCTAGTTGTCATATAAATGGGTGGTGTGCGAGAGAACTTGAGCAATATTCAGCAATATTCCAGCAATTTGACGGCGAATCCAGTGATTGACATCATGAGCATCGATCTACGCAACTGGGATACGATGATATGCATCAAACCAAGTCAGCGAGCCAGACCACCCGATCCCGTCAGTCGCCTCTTTGACAAGCATGGGTTGCTGAAGACCAATTCTAACCCCGATCTTCACGGAACCCGCAATGAAGGACTGACTGGGTGTCGTCGGTTTTAATAGTGTTCTTTTTTTACAAACATGACATTCCCAGATACTTTTTTGGATCTCGTAAGGGCACACAAATGATTTTAGTGTGAGAATCTACTTTGTGTCAAATTTGATAACACGCATTTCAAATATTTGTACAAGTATCACTTGTCCCCAACTTGTATTTTCATATTTTCGGCGGTCTGTAAGGAATCAAGTCTGGACCAGACAATCCAGTGATGGATATTGAAAGCAACGATACGCGCAATTGGGATACAATGACATAAAATCAACGAAGTGACCGAACCTAAACACCTGATCCATTTACTCACCTCGTACGACCAGCATAGATTGCTGACGACCGATATTCCACATCCGGAGTTCTCCCTTGAGAAATGCTGTTAAACTTGGAACATTTTATGTCCGCTTCGTGTTCTTCTTTTGTTTGTTTGTTTGTTGTTTAACGCCGCACTCATTTCAAACACGAAATCAATGGAAGTATTTGCAGAAAGGACAGTCCAGAAGTGAACTGTGTGTTTGGTTGTTTGGTTGTTTGGTTGTTGTTTAATGCCGCACTCAGCAATATTCCAGCTATATGACGGCGGTCTGTAAATAATCAAGCCTGGACCAGACAATCCAGTGATTGATATCTAGAGCATCGATCCACGTATTTGGGATACGATGACATGCATCAACCAAGTCAGCGAGCGTGACCACCCGACCCCGTTAGTCGCCTTTTACGACAAGCATGGGTTGCTGAAGACCGAATCTTCACGGGTCTGGTGTTCTTCTGAAGTTTGTGTACATGCATTTTGACAAAGAAAACCCTCACTCCTGCATGACTGTCGTTGATGCTATTCGTGCACATGAGTACCACCGACGACCTCCCTATTAGTCCGGCGATGTTCAACAAAGCAAATTCAGCTGTACGACTGTCGTATGTCTATGTTAAACTATGGGGATTACCACAAACGTAGAAGATATGGTTCGACTTCAAGCAGAACACGTTTTATATTTAATGTCATGGATGATTTCCATGGTGGGACTGTGATGTACCTGTTTGTTTAAAACGTTGGCTCATCATGTCAAAGATCTGAGCTCGACTCCCCCACAATGTGTGAAAACAATGCTGTTTCTGGTGTCCCACAAATTCATGTTACTGGAATATGTTAAACCAAATATTTTGGAAAGAATTCCTGTAGTCAAACTTCTACCCCTGTCATATCAATCACTGGTTAAGTGTTAGCCTTGGTTGTCTGCTGTAGTCATACCTCAACAGTGTCATATCAATCACTGGTTGAGTGTTAGCCTTGGTTGTCTGCTGTAGTCATACCTCGACAGTGTCATATCAATCACTGGGTCAGTGTTAGCCTTGGTTGTCTGCTGTAGTCAAACCTCAACAGTGTCATATCAATCACTGGTTGAGTGTTAGCCTTGGTTGACTGCTGTAGTCATACCTCGACAGTGTCATATCTATCACTGTTTGAATGTTAGCCTTGGTCGTCTGCTGTAGTCATACCTCGACAGTGTCATATCAATCACTGGTTGAGTGTTAGCATTGGTTGACTGCTGTAGTCATACCTCAACAGTGTCATATCAATCACTGGTTGAGTGTTAGCCTTGGTTGTCTGCTGTAGTCATACCTCGACAGTGTCATATCAATCACTGGGTCAGTGTTAGCCTTGGTTGTCTGCTGTAGTCAAACCTCAACAGTGTCATATCAATCACTGGTTGAGTGTTAGCCTTGGTTGACTGCTGTAGTCATACCTCGACAGTGTCATATCTATCACTGTTTGAATGTTAGCCTTGGTCGTCTGCTGTAGTCATACCTCGACAGTGTCATATCAATCACTGGTTGAGTGTTAGCATTGGTTGACTGCTGTAGTCATACCTCCACAGTGTCATATCAATCACTGGTTGAGTGTTAGCCTTGGTTGACTGCTGTAGTCATACCTCGACAGTGTCATTTCTATCACTGTTTGAATGTTAGCCTTGGTCGTCTGCTGTAGTCATACCTCGACAGTGTCATATCAATCACTGTTTGAATGTTAGCCTTGGTCGTCTGCTGTAGTCATACCTCGACAGTGTCATATCAATCACTGGGTCAGTGTTAGCCTTGGCTGACTGCTGTAGTCATACCTCGACAGTGTCATATCAATCACTGGTTGAGTGTTAGCCTTGGTCGTCTGCTGTAGTCATACCTCGACAGTGTCATATCAATCACTGGGTCAGTGTTAGCCTTGGCTGACTGCTGTAGTCATACCTCGACAGTGTCATATCAATCACTGGTTGAGTGTTAGCCTTGGTCGTCTGCTGTAGTCATACCTCGACAGTGTCATATCAATCACTGGGTCAGTGTTAGCCTTGGCTGACTGCTGTAGTCATACCTCGACAGTGTCATATCAATCACTGGTTAAGTGTTAGCCTTGGTCGTCTGCTGTAGTCATACCTCGACAGTGTCATATCAATCACTGGTTGAGTGTTAGCCTTGGTCTTCTGCTGTAGTCATACCCCGACAGTGTCATATCAATCACTGGGTCAGTGTTACCCTTGGTCGTCTGCTGTAGTCATACCTCGACAGTGTCATATCAATCACTGGTTGAGTGTTAGCCTTGGTCGTCTGCTGTAGTCATACCTCGACAGTGTCATATCAATCACTGGTTGAGTGTTAGCCTTGGTCGTCTGCTGTAGTCATACCTCGACAGTGTCATATCAATCACTGGTTAAGTGTTAGCCTTGGTTGTCTGCTGTAGTCATACCTCAACAGTGTCATATCAATCACTGGTTGAGTGTTAGCATTGGTTGACTGCTGTAGTCATACCTCGACAGTGTCATATCAATCACTGGTTGAGTGTTAGCCTTGGTCTTCTGCTGTAGTCATACCCCGACAGTGTCATATCAATCACTGGTTGAGTGTTAGCCTTGGTTGTCTGCTGTAGTCATACCCCGACAGTGTCATATCAATCACTGGTTGAGTGTTAGCCTTGGTCGTCTGCTGTAGTCATACCTCGACAGTGTCATATCAATCACTGGTTGAGTGTTAGCCTTGGTCGTCTGCTGTAGTCATACCTCGACAGTGTCATATCAATCACTGGTTGAGTGTTAGCCTTGGTCGTCTGCTGTAGTCATACCTCGACAGTGTCATATCAATCACTGGGTCAGTGTTAGCCTTGGTCGTCTGCTGTAGTCATACCTCAACAGTGTCATATCAATCACTGGTTGAGTGTTAGCATTGGTTGACTGCTGTAGTCATACCTCGACAGTGTCATATCAATCACTGGTTGAGTGTTAGCCTTGGTTGTCTGCTGTAGTCATACCTCGACAGTGTCATATCAATCACTGGTTGAGTGTTAGCCTTGGTCGTCTGCTGTAGTCATACCTCGACAGTGTCATATCAATCACTGGTGTGAGTGTTAGATATATCAACTGAACCAAAGAATAACAGTCTTTGAATATCATAAAAACGTTATACCCTGTCTGTCATTCCATGACACAGGGTCTGTTAACTTTTATTATTCATGAAAGAAACATTCAAAGTGGGTAAATGTGGCATTGGAGTAACACTTTGTGTTGGTTATTATAACAAACAAGCCTTGTTTTTACTTCACATTTTCTTTATTCCATTCAACCAACAATTTATTTCAGATATCAATTCAAGAAAAACATGCTTTGAATATTAATGTTTGTTTCGGCTACCGAACATTCAATTTTTTAGGGAAAAAGCCATTAAAGATGATAATAAAAAAAACATTCTTTACTTTCACTTTAAAAGAAATCTAAACTTGTTTCTTGCACTACTCCTCCTACTTCCACTTTTTAACATTTTGAGGAAATCAAAAATATATTTGAAATGGGAATTTATACTTTTTTCATTTTTTCGACCAAGCAAAGTCGTATAGTGATATTTGTACATCTTTGGACGTGGTGAGTTGAATTTTTGGGCCCAAACAAAAAAGTCTGTCCCTTGAAAGTGACAACCATGGATTCTAACCACACACACACACTGCATCATAGGATATACATGTATCATGATTCACAAAAATAAGTCCCCAAAATAATGTAACATTACATCAAAAGAATATTTCACAACCCACTGTATATTGTTTCATAATGCGAAACCCAGGTGTAGTCAATGTGATGAGGGGGCACGGGTGGCCCAGTCGTCTAAGGCGCCGCGATTCGCTGTGCACAGTTGCGTCCCTTTGGCACGCCAGAAACCTATGATTGTGGGTTCGAATCCCGGTTCACCCCGATTATGTTTCTAGGTTTGTCAGCACCATACCCGTGCTCGTGGGTTTCACTGAAGTTTTAACGTCCGAGACCTGCATCACTTCGGGCTTTCCTCCCACATTAAGCTGACACGCCGTGATATAACAGGAATAATGTTAAAAGCGGCGTTAAACCCAACTCACTCACTCACTCAATGAGATGAAATGATGACAAATTCTACCCAGTGAAACTAGAACTGATCGTGAACCCGACATATATAACATGTAATGCTGAAGTCATGTGTCTAGGACATGCAGATTTACCGGTACCATCAAGAAGTCATCTTTGGTTGTGTGCAAGGCAAAAAGATTTAAATTAAAGCACAATAGTTACCATGTGCCATCTTTGGGCTAAGAATAAAGAATTGCGGTGTGTTCCCTTTACAAAACTGCTATGTGCGCTGACCAAGGTGGTCTGACCTTAAACATTTAGCAATTGTGGTATGTGCCATGGTCACGCTGGAGACTATATATATGGTTTTGACTTAACAATGATGTATGTATCTATTGCTTCTGTTGTCTGGGATCTTTCTGAAAAAATATTTTCCAAAGAAAAAAGAACATGAAATTCCTCAGGTTTTACCCCAAAATATAAATTTATCATTAGTTCCAAGATGTCCTGAAAATGAATGTTTAGTTAAATAAAATATTTATTGTTTTTCAAACCTTCCTACATAAGAAAACATCCAACTATGTTTTGTTTTTTAACATTTGAAAGATATAATGATCTTTGGGACACATCCATTTTCAAACTAAAAAATATTTTGCTGTCTGTCCATTTGTAAGATATTTTTAAAAATCAGGATCCAAATAACAATTATTATTTACCTAGCTCAAGGATGATGTGTATCAATGATTGAGTGATTTTGGCTTAATGCCGCTTTGAACGGTATTTCAGTTATGTCAGTGGGGAAAGGGGGGGGGAGTCTCAAGTGATGCATGTCTCAGACGATTCCCACTTAGGTGAATCCAATGAGCACGGGTATGGTGCTGACAAGCCTAGAAACATAATCGGGAAGAATTGGGATTCAAATCCACGATCATTAGATTCTGCCATGCCCAAGGGAAGCAACTGTTCACATTGAATTATAGTGCCTTACACGACTGGTCCACCCATGCTCCCGATGATGATAGTGATGATGATGATGATGATGATGGTGATGATGATGATGATGGATTTCATGATCATTCTGCATCAAGACAATAACACAAGAAAACAAAGGTACTGATTACATCAAACATAAACATACTCTGGTGTAAAATGGATTTCATCATGTGGTGGAATTTTGCAACAACAATATCATTAAAATCAGATCTAAGTTCTCGTTGTCGCTAAACAAAGATCTGAGGACATCCCATTACGAGTCACGTCAGAATGACCTTTCATGAACTTTGACCGACCACTGAAACATCTAACAATCATCCAGTTCCGGCAAGAACATTCCGGAATGTCTAATATATGGTTGTGATTGTATGGCAGTGCTTCCCACGTACTGTGCAATGCCTCTTCCGTTCAAATGTTTATCCCATGGAAGGGAGAGATACTTATGGGCCATAACTGTCGTTCGGAATAACCCGTTTTAACGTTTTTGAGGTTGCATGATCAAAAAACACATTCCGACTGTCACTTTCATGATCTGGTAAGCGACCCTTTAATTGGTCGGATGAAAGGTCGTTCTGACGTGACCCCTAATGGGATGTCCTCAGATCTTTGTTTAGCAATAGCGAGAACTAAGATCGGATTTAAATGAGATTGTACGCGACAAGGACTTGTACACACAGCATAAAATAACATAGTACAGTCTTTCTATTGATGGACAAAATAACATAAATAGTCTTCACATTTTGTTCACTTCAAAGAAGCTAAAATGACAAGAAACAAATAAATATAGTCTATTAATAAATGAAATTAAAATATAAGTTCCATGTTACAATAAAGGAACTTTTAATAAACACAGTACTTTTTTCTTCACTCAAACAAATTATTTCCTTCATCAGCACTAAGGAAAAAAATTGAATGAGAGTTGTTTTTTAAAGAAAAGGTTACTAAGCAACCTGTGCAAATGCACTATCAATCACATTTGTTAAAAAAACACTCAGTGAGTGTAAACTTTAGCGCTCACATTTCATCCACACACGCTACAGTATCTGCAAAATCTCTGCATTTTAACCACTTATAAATAATTTGATGGAAATATAATTTCTTATTATCTTGCTATCATTTAATACACATTTATATCATGTACTGGATAGCGTTATCGATGCAGTAAACCAATCTGATAAACTTGGTATCAGAATCTGATTAATATGCAAATGAGTGCCCCAAAGGAACTATATTTTATAAGCTCCCACGAATCAAGGCAAGGTCTACTTGGTCAATAAACAGTTACCTGACACTCCCAATAATCATAGACAGGTGTTTTTCATCGTGCGGATGTTTCTGTACACAAACATGACTTCAAATTATTTTTTCGAATTTAGTGATTAGGGTGGTTCACTCTTGCATTGTATTCATACATGTTTTACGAAAGACACTCAATTGACTGAAATATTGTCAGAAAGGGCAATTTTAAACAACGTTCTCCCCCTTCAAACAACGATTATTTTAAGAGTGCCATGTGATAAAGAGATTATCAACCTCGTGTGTTTCTGCATCTGTCATAAATATCATCAGGAATACAAGATATGGATTATACAACTTGTATCCCTGATATAGGATGGAAACACACTCGCCTAATTATATCTAAATTGGTCATTGTACTGAGAAAGGTTTAATTAGCTGTAAGCAGCCGGAACAACAGCTGAATATAAAATATCCATAATCAGGGCACATGTCCACAGTTGACCAAATTAATCCTCATAGAGCATGTACATGAACTAATACGTATTTGTTGAGATCATCATGACCCACACATTTGTAAACACTACAAAAAGTGTTTTTTCGGTGATGTTCATTGAACCATATAAGAGATCTGTGCCAAAAGCTCTTGAGTCTACGAGCTTGAATATATCTCTAAGTTGTGTTCAGTGGTGTCATATAAACTCTTATAGCTGACCTTACAAGACCAAACAGTTTTTAACAAAACTCAGGCTTCTGATTTGTGATTTAAACTCGCAGAAGTCTTTCAAATACTCTAAAGTTGAAATTTTGACCGCTAGGCAGTCAGAGTATCCAGAGCACAGAAATTATAGTGATACAACATAAAACCAAAAAGCGGTGAAATATGAAAAATCTATATAAAGATATGAATTGGAAATGTTAGAATTTATGTAATAATTCACAAAAAGTGGAAGCCAGAAATACAAATATGCTGAGTGTAGGGTGAAGACCCTCTGACTCTGGGCTACCCGGGAAACAATACAACCTGGACTCTGTTCCACAAAGCAATCTTAGCGCTAAGATGATCATAACTCCCATACTTTAACATAGGCTAACGGTAGTCATAGGGCTATGATCGCTTTGTGGAACGGGGCCCTGTACATATACAGTGGACCACAGTGACCTCCGTCGTGCACAGTGGACCACAGTGACCTCCGTTGTGCACAGTGGACCACATTGACCTCCGTCGTGCACAGTGGACCACAGTGACCTCCGTCGTGCACAGTGGACCACATTGACCTCCGTCGTGCACAGTGGACCACAGTGACCTCCGTCGTGCACAGTGGACCACAGTGACCTCCGTCGTGCACAGTGGACCACAGTGACCTCCGTCGTGAACAGTGGACCACAGTGACCTCCGTCATGCACGGCCCAGTGGACCACAGTGACCTCCGTCATGCACGGACCAGTGGACCACAGTGACCTCCGTCATGCATGGCCAAGTGGACCACAGTGACCTCCGTCGTGCACGGCCCAGTGGACCACAGTGACCTCCGTCATGCTCGGACCAGTGGACCACAGTGACCTCCGTCATGCTCGGACCAGTGGACCACAGTGACCTCCGTCATGCTCGGACCAGTGGATCTACAGAGGAAGACTTGTATGGAAGGAATGATGGGGAGACCATGGAATGATGAGAACAATATAATTTACACACTGATACCAATATTTACATATCTTATATACAAAATATTTTCATGCGATAAAAGTTTGGGAAAACATAGAGGAATATTCACCCAAATATTAAATATGAAACTTGAAGTTCAGGAATAAAACTGGGGAAGAAAAAAACCCTGGAGGTGCTTGCCAAATACCAGTATATTCAGGGCCCCGTTCCTCAAAGCGATCTTAGCGCGGCGATGATCGTAAGCCTATGTTAAAGTATGGGACTTACGATCACCTTAGCGCAAAGATTGCTTTGAGGAACGGGGCCCAGGTCAAGAATAGGGCCCATTCTGCAATGAAATTATTTTCCTAAAGGAACCTGCCCAGTATCAGAGCATATCAGTATCTTCAGGTTTTCAAGAATAGGGAATAAATAAAATTATTGCCCAATGTCAGAGAAAATATGTGATCTCACCCCTCTTTTATGCTCAATATTACTATATGTAGGTTTCATTATGGGTCAAATCTACAATGAGCGGGACCTCAGAAGCATGTGACACAATGAATCAATGTGGTCAGTCCTTTAACCTAAATACCCACAGTCTACACCAGTACTTCAATGGGACGAATAACTCACGAGTTTGTGTGTAATTGTCTAAATCCATTGACGCAGTAATGGTTCTTGTCTTGCCATAATCCCGTGTTATTCTGCCACACATCAATAAGGCTTGATATATAAACATAACAATAAACTATTAGCCTGTAAACAAGTTACATGTGTTGAAGCACATGTTTATCTAAAGCAGGTGTGTAGCGTTATCGAGTACACCGAACTCCATAACCTAAAGTCTTTAAGCTTTAAGTTTACATTACTTTATTTTATTGGTGCATTACTTGGTTTGCGAATCTACCAACTCAAAAATATGATATCTGACGTAATAAGCCCCCGCTCTAATAAACGCCCATGGCGATATTTGCTAATATATTGGCAAGTGAACAATCCCAATAAGGGCCCCCTAATTCTAATTTTGAGAGTGCCTGGGCATTTATTTCGTCGAATACGGTAATCCCAGCTTGTTTCGCTGACCCAGTCAAGTAATTCATGCTCACTGATAAAAAACACTACCACAAAACAAAGGATGTCGCCATGACAAATACCATCTTCTTCCCTATAAACACTGACTCACCAATAATGCAAAATTGAAAAAAACAAAAACAAAAAAAAAACAACATTTTTTATTTATCCAGGCACTAGGTTTTAAAATTTAAATCTAAGTGAGTCAGACAAAATTTAGAACAGGGCATACCTTCCACTGTGCACTGGCTGAAGAAAACTAAACATCAAATGTTGTTAGGAAAATAGTACTGAGTAGCTCTCCTCACAGGGAACTTGGTGTGTGGTTGTTGATATACAGTGGTGTTAATGGTCCCTTGGTTATTACTATTTGAAACTGAGTTCATATGCAATAAAGACATGTCTGTTGAAGTGAGTGTCATGTGAGGAATGCGAGTAGCTGAAGCGTGGCCATTGTAACACGAATCAAAGGCAATAATGATATGAAATATAGTTTTCAGTAATATTTCTGTTTTTGCACGACTATATCTTGCAGAAATGTGTCAGTGCCCCTGATTACTTGGCAGGAAAGTAACACTAGCTCTGTATTCCGATACATGTACAAACAAATATCCTGCCATGTTTCCCCATGTCAACTATTAAATATTATCTTATTACAAAAAATTATTGTGGGGTGAGTGAGTATGGTTTTACGCCGCTTTTAGCAATATTCCAGCAATATCACGGCGGGGGACACCACAAATGGGCTTCACACATTGTACCCATGTCGGGAATCGAACCCGGGTCTTCGGTGTGACGAGCTAACACTTTAACCACTAGGCTACCCGACTGCCCCCACAAAAACTAAATATTTTAGGCCTTAATCATAAGAAATAACTGATAAAATTTTCATAATTTGTCATTTTTCTCTTGCCTCACATCATTTTATTTTCCCCAGTTGCCTATTCATCATAGTCCAAAGATAGGCGGGGCGGATCTCCAGGGTGGGGTGGGGTGTAGACAATATCCACACAAAACCCCCACCCATCCATCCCACACACGCACATACACACACACACACACAATACTGAGAGATGGTTTTGATATTTTTGGACTCCTCCTTTTGAATAATGCTGGTTCCTCCTTTGCCAAGACATTTTACAGACAGATATTTTAAGCGCGCTTCATACAGTTTTCTGAGATCTCTGAAAATGGATTCATTACTTCAAAAACTTTTGATCTTTTTTTGTAGACAATATTTGCTGTTACCAACATATCTATACAAAGACAACACACCTGCTAAATATAATTTGCAATACCAAAGAATCTCCCACGCCAGCCATAGCCTACAGGATCAGCTGGTTTCTCCCCTTTGTGCAGATATTCATCCATGTTTCCCCATGTTAACTATTAGATATTATCTTATAACAAAAAATAAAGTGGGTTGAGTGAGTATGGTTTTACGCCGCTTTTAGCAATATTCCAGCAATATCACGGCAGGGGACACCAGAAATGGACTTCACACATTGTACCCATGTCGGGAATCGAACCCGGGTCTTCGGCGTGACGAGCGAATGCTTTAATCACGAGGCTACCAGACCGCCCCCACAAACCCATAGTGAAAACATGCACCTAATGCATTCACTTCTGTTCCCACACACATCCTTTCTAATCAACCCACAACACAGAAATATCTGTAGTGTTTCAACATATCTCAAGCCATTTCCCAAACTGTGTCTAAGTCTGCGGATTGTAAACAGTCCATCGATATTTGTAATCATCCTACCAACCAATGCATGTTCAGCTATCAGTTGTTCCTTCACAAATATGCTCGGATTCCAACTGTCAGTCCAACCTGTTCCTTTCTTTATGCTTTGACCCTGTTCCACAGAGCAATCTTAGCACAAAGATGATCGTAACTCCCATCCTATAACATAGACTTACGCTAACCACAGCAGTAAGATTGCTTTGACCCTGTTCCACAGAGCAAAATTAGCGCAAAGATGATCGTAACTCTGATACTATAATATAGACTTACGCTAACCACAGCAGTAAGATTGCTTTGACCCTGTTCCACAGAGCAAAATTAGCGCAAAGATGATCGTAACTCCCATCCTATAATATAGACCTACGCTATCCACAGAACTAAGAGGACCTGGGCCCTGTTCCTCAAAGCGATCTTAGCGCTACAATGATCGTAAACCTATGTTAAAGTAAGGGGCTTACGATCACCTTAGTGCTAAGATCGCTTGGTGGAAAGGGGCCCCCAGGCCCTATTCCTTTCTTTATGGCCATATATACTCACCAACAAAAGAAACGCGAATACCGTACATGTTCGTCAGTGTGTGAAGAATTACTCATATTCAAGAGGTATAAGATTGGTTCGATGCACAAACGAACATACTGGTATGTTGTGTGAACCGATACTCATGAATGCATCACATGTGACATCATAGATCCATGACTCAAGATGCACCTTTGTCTCGTGCAGGATTAGCGTGTAAAGTTTGGAAATCACGTGCAGCATATTGGGATAAGAAGACAGACACTCTGGGTAACACTTGACGGATTGTAAGTTTTGTCAGTAATCGGTACACACTGGAAACATCTCTTCTTAACATACATACTTCTCTATATGTTTCGATGGTTCGCGTTTCTATTGGTGGTGATATATTACATATCTCCAGTTAATAATATGGTCCTATGACCACAACCTTTGATCATTTTGATTTTGATCCAAATCTCTTCAAATTACAATTTCCTTCTTAATAAAAAAACAAAACATTTTTCAGACACATTACACTCATTTGTCACTTTTCTAAATTAAGCGACCTTTCTGAATAAAACAAAATTGTATTGTGATATACCTCTCATTCATTGGTGTAAAATAGCATTGAATGAGAATAACATGACTTCTAATCACCACCCACCTCCCCACTTGGACCCCCCATGGTCTGAGGCACAATGCTGTGTGCAGAGTTGTGTCCCTTAGATACCGGGGGTCCATGCCCCTTGCTTCACCAGTGATAAATGTCTACACCATGCTTCACTCGGGCACCCACAAAGTGATCTAAGGGCTAAGATTAACGTAACTTCCATGTTCTAACATAGACTTACGCTAACCACAGGACTAAGATCGCTTTGTCCCTGTTCAACAGAGCAAACTTAGTGCAAAAATTAACGTAACAACCTTACTATAACGTAGGCTTACGATTACCACAGGACTAAGATTGCTTTGACCCTGTTCCACAGAGCAATCTTAGCACAAAGATGATCGTAATTCCCATACTATAACATAGACTTACGCTTACCACAGGACTAAGATCGTTTAGACCCTGTTCCACAGAGCAAAATTAGTGCAAAAATTAACATAACATCCTTACTATAACGTAGGCTTATGATTACCACAGCACTAAGATTGCTTTGACCCTGTTCTTAGATTGCTCTGTGGAACAGGGTCAAAGCAATCTTAGCGCAAAGATGATCATAACTCCGATACTATAACATAGAGCAATCTTAGTGCAAAGATAATCACAACTCCCATACTATAACTTATGCTAACCACAGAACTAAGAGGACCTGGTCCCTGTTTCACAGTGTGACATTACCGCTAAGACAATAATAACTCTCACGTTTCAACAATAACTTAGATAGTTGTAGTGCTACGATCGCTTTGCGGAACGATGCCCTGGTCTCCATATGCGCAGCCACGCCGTGACGTAACTACAAAATTGTTGACAGCGGCGCTTAATCCAACTCACTCACTCAATTGTGTCTCTCTTGCTGCTCTTCCAATTGCTCTATTCGGCGAAGTTGCTGGCCGGCTCTGCGGGCGGCTTCCTTGTTGCCGAGTTTCTCCTCCATGTCCTTCAGGTAGAAGTAGAATGCCTTTTGGTAGGGTTCCACCTTGATGCCCTGCAGACGATATCAAAAATGCTCTTAGCAATAATCCAGCAATAGTACAACGAAATGTTAAAAAATCCCCGATTTATCTCCTGTATAATATCATATAAAATTTACGTAAATAACGAACTCTCTACAGCGAACTAACGGATACAGCGAACTGATATCTGATCACCGACAAGCCCATCTATCACTAATTAGTGACGTGTATAGCGAACTGAGAAATCTCACTCAGTGTCAAGTGTCACTGACAATTGGCTGTACGCAATCAGCGGCGAATCAAAACAATGGCGGCGAATCAATAGCGGTGACGGATCAACCTTGTTAAATGTGTACATAAAATAGTCTATTTAGCCTATTCTCAAACTTGCGACTTGCATAGATTATGGAAAGAAAACTATCAATAATAAAATCCTAACTTTTCCAGGGAAAACTCTTCCTTCTTTCATACATTGGGGTTTATGTTGCACATGTTAAAAGTGTTCCAACTATCATGAGAAAAGCAGTTAAGGAAGGTGATATCGTGAGAACAAATCCATGGGATTTAGAGTGTAGTACCAAAGACTTGTTTCTGTAGCACAAAAAGGTCATTTAAATAGAATCTGAAATGTTGGGGCGTAGGGAAAGGTCTTATTAACAAGAAAACATAGTGATCCATATCCCCCGCCATCTTTGCATTTTTAGTACAATTGTAAATACATATACATATCCAAGATGGCGGACGTTTCCGAGCGAAAACGTGTATAACGAACAACGGATATAACGAACTGATTTCTCTGGTCCCTTGAGTTCTGACCCGTGAAGATTCCGGGGAAGAATAGGTCTTCAGCAACCCATGCTTGCCGTAAAAGGTGACTATGCTTGTCGTAAAAGGCGACTAACGGGATCGGGTGGTCAGACTCGCTGACTTGGTTGATGCATGCCATCGATCCCAATTGCGTGGATCGATGCTCATGATATCAATAACTGGATTGTCTGGTCAAAACTTGATTATTTTACAGACCGCCATCATATAGCTGGAATATTGCTGAGTGCGGCGTTAAACAACAAACAAACCAACCAACCCACATGTAGACTGGTCTGTTTTCTTGGCACCCAAGGCAAGGGAGACAACTGATGTGACTCCAGCTTCCACACTTTCATGTGGAGGATTAAGCACATGTGAGGATTTTTATGAAATTAAAACCTGCGTCCACAGGATAATTTTCATCACAAGGATAAGGGTTTTAAATATCATAAAAACCAACGAGGAAGTGTTCTTATAAACCAAAAAAACAACAACTTTACACATTTTTATCAACATTTGTATGTTTCCAGCATACTTTCCATAAACCTTAGGAAATGGGCGTAAAATATTTGTTGCTGGCATAACGGTTCTTGAAAACGATGTTCTAAAAAGCATTGTGTTTTATCAGCGCCTCTGTAGCCTTGTGGTACACTCACTGGGCTACAGATACGAAGGTTGCGTGTTTGATCCTGGGAAATATAAAGAAAATGTTTTACATTTCATTGCATGTTACAATCTGAATGGAAGTTGTATCAATAAAATCCCCTCAATGTTTATAACACAGTATATAGCAAACATGCCTGGAATATTCATAAAATTCCGGGAATATTATATAAAGTCCTTGGGATATTACAACGTCCCTGTTTATGAGATTTAACCCCACTGGAGAACAATAGGATGACGTCACTGGAGGCTTATAAAGTCAGTTAACTCTCTTGCCTGGGGAAGCTGTTTTCTGGGCGACCTGTGTTCTCTTGATTCTCTTGAGTCACAGCCCTAAAAACTGAGCTGACCTGAATGTTTCTGGATTATTTGCAGCATCATCTATTCATGGATCAGACTACACACGTTAAGTGGCACACAATTGAAGCTCATTGTATGTGTGTATTATGCACACACTGGTAGTCAATCTGTAGTCAAATACTCTATATCCCAAGTACCCTATTGTTTGTGCTATTTTAAATCTGTTTGATATCAAAAGCGATATATATATATATATTTTGTGGTATTTAAGATGTTTTCATGATCACAAGTTTTATAATCATTGTGTTATAGTAGAGGTCATAACATCTATTTTATGGTCTCTGGTTATAGTGAGATTATATAATTGTGTTATAGTAGAGATCATAACATCTATTTTATGGTCTCTGGTTATAGTGAGATTATATAATAGTGTTATAGCAGAGATCATAACATCTATTTCTTGGTCTCTGGTTATAGTGAGATTATATAATAGTGTTATAGTAGAGATCATAACATCTATTTTATGGTCTCTGGTTATAGTGAGATTACATAACTGTGTTATAGCAGTCATCATAACATCTATTTTATGGTCTCTGGTTATTGTGAGATTATATAATGGTGTTATAGTAATACTGAATCATTTGGATTTAAAACATTTAGTTAAAGGTGACCATGAAAAAACCATAGATGCATCATCTAATTAAGCACACAAAGCTGGTTAACTGGTGGAAAAACATGGAACCTTTTTTTTGTATGCTCTTGAAAGCATGCATTGGATAACATGATGTTTTACAAAAGAACAAAGGCTTGGATTTCCTGCCTGAAGAGTTACCATGGTGACCACCACTACCTGCTTCAAATTGGACCAAGAGACAAATTTATCGGTATTTTACTCATCAAGGAATACATTTATGAATGGCCTTTCCCAGGTTGATATTACACAGCTGTATAATTGGTTACATATTAGTTTGGACAGCCCAGAACAAAGGAGGAAACTAGAGAGGCCACTTGTGCGCAAATTTTGTTTTTTTATTGAAACAATTTTTAGAAGCCTAACCTCGGAGTCGTGATTTATCCTATGCACAGGCATCACAGTAACCTCAAAATTCAGGATTTGGAAAACGTCCTGTCTAACCTGTCAAGTGAACATCTCACCTGTCAAGTGAACGTTTCACCTGTCAAAGCAGTGTCAGTGAACGTCTCACCTGTCAAGTGAACGTCTCACCTGTCAAGTAAACGTCTCACCTGTCAAGTGAACGTTTCACATGTCAAAGCAGTGTCAGTGAACATCTCACCTGTCAAGTGAACGTCTCACCTGTCACGTGAATGTTTCACCTGTCAAGGCAGGGTCAGTAAACGTCTCACCTGTCAAGTGAACGTCTCACCTGTCAAGTGAACGTTTCACCTGTCAAGGCAGGGTCAGTAAACGTCTCACCTGTCAAGTGAATGCCTCACCTGTCAAGGCAGTGTCAGTAACTGCCTCACCTGTCAAGGCAGTGTCAGTAACTGCCTCACCTGTCAAGGTAGTGTCAGTGAACGTCTCACCTGTCAAGGCAGTGTCAGTGAATGCCTCACCTGTCAAGGCAGTGTCAGTGAATGTCTCACCTGTCAAGGCAGTGTCAGTAACTGCCTCACCTGTCAAGGCAGTGTCAGTGAATGCCTCACCTGTCAAGGCAGTGTCAGTGAACGTCTCACCTGTCAAGGCACTGTCAGTGAACGTCTCACCTGTCAAGTGAACGTCTCACCTGTCAAGACAGTGTCAGTGAATGCCTCACCTGTCAAGGCAGGTCAGTAAACGTCTCACCTGTCAAGTGAATGCCTCACCTGTCAAGTGAACGTCTCACCTGTCAAGGCAGTGTCAGTTACTGCCTCACCTGTCAAGGCAGTGTCAGTGAATGCCTCACCTGTCAAGGAAGTGTCAGTAACTGCCTCACCTGTCAAGGCAGTGTCAGTAACTGCCTCACCTGTCAAGGCAGTGTCAGTGAATGCCTCACCTGTCAAGGCAGTGTCAGTGAATGCCTCACCTGTCAAGGCAGTGTCAGTGAACGTCTCACCTTTCAAGGCAGTGTCAGTGAATGCCTCACCTGTCAAGGCAGTGTCAGTGAATGCCTCACCTGTCAAGGCAGTGTCAGTGAATGTCTCACCTGTCAAGGCAGTGTCAGTAACTGCCTCATCTGTCAAGGCAGTGTCAGTGAACGTCTCACCTGTCAAGTAAACGTCTCACCTGTCAAGTGATCATCTCACCTGTCAAGTGAATGTCTCACCTGTCAAGTGAACGTCTTACCTGTCAAGTGAACGTCTCACCTGTCAAGTGAACGTCTCACCTGTCAAGGCAGTGTCAGTAACTGCCTCACCTGTCAAGGAAGTGTCAGTAACTGCCTCACCTGTCAAGGCAGTGTCAGTGAACGCCTCACCTGTCAAGGCAGGGTCAGTAAACGTCTCACCTGTCAAGTGAATGCCTCACCTGTCAAGGCAGTGTCAGTGAATACCTCACCGGCCAAGGCAGTGTCAGTGAATGCCTCACCTGCCAAGGCAGTGTCAGTGAACGTCTCACCTGTCAAGGCAGTGTCAGTGAATGCCTCACCTGTCAAGGCAGTGTCAGTGAATGTCTCACCTGTCAAGGCAGTGTCAGTAACTGCCTCACCTGTCAAGGCAGTGTCAGTGAATGCCTCACCTGTCAAGGCAGTGTCAGTGAACGTCTCACCTGTCAAGGCAGTGTCAGTGAACGTCTCACCTGTCAAGTGAACGTCTCACCTGTCAAGGCAGTGTCAGTGAATGCCTCACCTGTCAAGGCAGTGTCAGTAAACGTCTCACCTGTCAAGTGAATGCCTCACCTGTCAAGTGAACGTCTCACCTGTCAAGGCAGTGTCAGTTACTGCCTCACCTGTCAAGGCAGTGTCAGTGAATGCCTCACCTGTCAAGGCAGTGTCAGTAACTGCCTCACCTGTCAAGGCAGTGTCAGTAACTGCCTCACCTGTCAAGGCAGTGTCAGTGAATGCCTCACCTGTCAAGGCAGTGTCAGTGAACGTCTCACCTGTCAAGGCAGTGTCAGTGAATGCCTCACCTGTCAAGGCAGTGTCAGTGAATGCCTCACCTGTCAAGGCAGTGTCAGTGAATGTCTCACCTGTCAAGGCAGTGTCAGTTACTGCCTCATCTGTCAAGGCAGTGTCAGTGAACGTCTCACCTGTCAAGTGAACGTCTCACCTGTCAAGTGATCATCTCACCTGTCAAGTGAATGTCTCACCTGTCAAGTGAACGTCTTACCTGTCAAGTGAATGTCTCACCTGTCAAGTGAACGTCTCACCTGTCAAGGCAGTGTCAGTAACTGCCTCACCTGTCAAGGAAGTGTCAGTAACTGCCTCACCTGTCAAGGCAGTGTCAGTGAACGCCTCACCTGTCAAGGCAGGGTCAGTAAACGTCTCACCTGTCAAGTGAATGCCTCACCTGTCAAGGCAGTGTCAGTGAATACCTCACTGGCCAAGGCAGTGTCAGTGAATGCCTCACCTGCCAAGGCAGTGTCAGTGAACGCCTCACCTGTCAAGGCAGTGTCAGTGAATGCCTCACCTGTGAAGGCAGTGTCAGTGAATGTCTCACCTGTCAAGGCAGTGTCAGTAACTGCCTCATCTGTCAAGGCAGTGTCAGTGAACGTCTCACCTGTCAAGTGAACGTCTCACCTGTCAAATGATCATCTCACCTGTCAAGTGAATGTCTCACCTGTCAAGTGAACGTCTTACCTGTCAAGTGAACGTCTCACCTGTCAAGTGAACGTCTCACCTGTCAAGGCAGTGTCAGTAACTGCCTCACCTATCAAGGCAGTGTCAGTAACTGCCTCACCTGTCAAGGCAGTGTCAGTGAACGCCTCACCTGTCAAGGCAGGGTCAGTAAACGTCTCACCTGTCAAGTGAATGCCTCACCTGTCAAGGCAGTGTCAGTGAATACCTCACTGGCCAAGGCAGTGTCAGTGAATGCCTCACCTGCCAAGGCAGTGTCAGTGAACGCCTCACCTGTCAAGGCAGTGTCAGTGAATGCCTCACCTGTCAAGGCAGTGTCAGTGAATGTCTCACCTGTCAAGGCAGTGTCAGTAACTGCCTCATCTGTCAAGGCAGTGTCAGTGAACGTCTCACCTGTCAAGTGAACGTCTCACCTGTCAAATGATCATCTCACCTGTCAAGTGAATGTCTCACCTGTCAAGTGAACGTCTTACCTGTCAAGTGAACGTCTCACCTGTCAAGTGAACGTCTCACCTGTCAAGGCAGTGTCAGTAACTGCCTCACCTATCAAGGCAGTGTCAGTAACTGCCTCACCTGTCAAGGCAGTGTCAGTAACTGCCTCACCTGTCAAGGCAGTGTCAGTGAATGTCTCACCTGTCAAGGCAGTGTCAGTAACTGCCTCATCTGTCAAGGCAGTGTCAGTAACTGCCTCACCTGTCAAGGCAGTGTCAGTGAACGCCTCACCTGTCAAGGCAGGGTCAGTAAACATCTCACCTGTCAAGTGAATGCCTCACCTGTCAAGGCAGTGTCAGTTACTGCCTCACCTGTCAAGGCAGTGTCAGTGAATGCCTCACCTGCCAAGGCAGTGTCAGTGAACGCCTCACCTGTCAAGGCAGGGTCAGTAAACGTCTCACCTGTCAAGTGAATGCCTCACCTGTCAAGGCAGTGTCAGTGAATGCCTCACCGGCCAAGGCAGTGTCAGTGAATGCCTCACCTGCCAAGGCAGTGTCAGTGAACGCCTCACCTGTCAAGGCATTGTCAGTGAATGCCTCACCTGCCAAGGCAGTGTCAGTGAACGCCTCACCTGTCAAGGCAGGGTCAGTAAACGTCTCACCTGTCAAGTGAATGCCTCACCTGTCAAGGCAGTGTCAGTGAATGCCTCACCGGCCAAGGCAGTGTCAGTGAACGCCTCACCTTTCAAGGCAGTGTCAGTGAACCTCTCACCTGTCTAAAGATTTCTGCAGCATCTTTGAATCTCCCATTCTGTTTCAGGAAGGTCCCATATTTGGCATAAACATCCCACATATTGGGGTTGAGAGCTAGCGCTTTCTTCATGAGAGCCTCAGCCTCGTCGTTCTTGCCCAGCTGTAAGAAAGAATCAATTCTTCACACTTCATGTACAAGTATGGCTTAATTCTGCTCGACAAAGTTTTATTGATTTGCTGCGCAGAATAACTGCCTTTGGTCATCTTTTTCTTAGAGGCAAATTGAAGAAAAAGCTTGCATGTTTTTCTTACAGATGAGTCATAAAATACATACTGCCATTGTTTATCAAAGTCTACATTACAAAATAAATGCCTCATTTGCAAAACACTCTCCACGATTGCATATGTTCTTCATCTGTTTGGGGCACTGGTGGTCCAGTCGCCCGCCACGATTAACTGTGTAGAGTTGTGTCCCTTGGGCATGTAAGGAAACTTATGGTTGTGGGTTCGAATCCTGGTTCGCCCTGATTATGTTTCTAGGTTTGTCAGCACCATACCTGTGCTGGTAAACGTCTGAGACCTGCATCACTTCGGTCTTTCCTCCCACAATAAGCTGACATGCCGTGATATAACTAGAATACTGTTAAAAGCGGCGTTAAACCCAACTCACTCACTCACTCACTCACTCACAGCATACATTGTTTTACCTATCCCACATTGCTGTACAGCTCCATGTGCTGTCATCCAAGCCCTACCGGGAGCTAGTGATACGGTCACATTTATGTGTCAAGCCATATTGTCAGAGCTCCTCACTGCCGTAGATGTAGTAGCATATCGACACCACTTCGGTGAAACCCACGAGCACGGGTATGGTGCTGACAAACCTAGAAACATAATTGGGGCGAACCGGGATTCGAAACCACAATCATAGGTTTCTGTCATGCCCAAGGGACGCAACTCCACACAGTTAATCGTGGCGCCATGGACGATTGGGCCACCTGTGCCCCAAACAGATGAAGAACATATGCAATCGATTGGACTGTGTAAGATGTGATGTTGTGGCAGGTGATTTAGGCTGGCTGCAAACCCACAATCATAGGTTTCTGGCGTGCCCAAGGGACGCAACTCTGCACCGCGGATCGCAGCGCCTTAGACGACTGGGCCCCCCGTGCCCCCTACATAGTTATGCAAAACCATATGTAAAGTCCACTGAGAGGCTTACAATAGACCCATCTGTTCTTATTACAACAAAGAGAAAAGTCTGGTCATGTGATAAGCCTACGTGGTCACCGAGCAGAAACTTCTCGTGTGGAATAAGGCAAGCAGAGCCAAGTAAGCACAAAGGTTATTGGCTATTGTTTGCAAACAATGGTTAAGAACGGTCCACATACTGCAACTTAATGTCACACTCAGCAATATTCAAGCTATATGATGGTGAATTGTAAATATTCGAGTCTTTGGACCAGACAATACAGTAATGGATATAGTGATGGGGTAAATGACATGCAAACAGCCAGGTCACCTGATCAATTTCGAGTTACTAGATGTGCCCTAATGTCTTAATATTTTATCAACATCATAATTGTGTCTTGAGAGATTCACTGCAATTGTAAACGCCTGTGACCTGAGTTATTTTGACTTATTTTCCCACTCCTCAGCTGACATGATTTGACTGAAATACACTGTATAAAGCACTATAAAGACTCACTGACTGATGTGAGGGATGGGCTTACCTTAGCTTTCACCTCAGCCAGAACAAGGCGAGCTATCACAAAGTAAGGATCAATACTGGCAGCTCTTTGTAGGTAAGTCTCAGCTGATTCCATTTGGTTGATTTCTTGATTCAAGACTCCGAGACGCAGGTTCATCTCAGCACTTCCTGCACACACAGATTGGAAAGTCTTGGAAATTTCACTGACACTACACATATATTATTTACTTCAGTGTGAAAGACTGAGTTTTTGGAAGTTGCTAAATCTTTATTTCACTGCAGTCAACATAACACTTGATATTTTCATTGCAGTTAATGTAACACTTGATATTTTCATTGCAGTGAACTTAACACTTGATATTTTCATTGCAGTGAACTTAACACTTGATATTTTCATTGCAGTGAACTTAACACTTGATATTTTCATTGCAGTGAACATAAGACTTGATATTTTCATTGCAGTGAACATAACACTTGATATTTTCATTGCAGTGAACGTAACACTTGATATTTTCATTGCAGTGACCGTAACACTTGATATTTTCATTGCAGTAATCGTAACACTTGATATTTTCATTGCAGTGAACTTAACACTTGATATTTTCATTGCAGTGAACATAACACTTGATATTTTCATTGCAGTGAATGTAACACTTGATATTTTCATTGCAGTGAACATAATGGTCATTTATGGAGTTTATATCGTTTTTTGCTGTTTGTTATTCTTTCGAAAATGTGTCGTCACTGTAAACTTCTCGTTATGACTCGTCGAGACTGTTCGTTTTGCAACATTTTTGTTACTTGACCATCATGGATTCCTTCGCTTCCAAAAGTGGTCTCATAGCTTTCAAGAATATTTTTTTAAAGTTGAATTTGCATATAATCATATCCAAATATATGATAAAGAATTTTTGTGACCCTAGAAATATTGTTTACATTCTTTAAGATTTTGCAAAGTTGGAACCTCTTTTTAAGTCACAATTACAAGGGATGGTGAACATCCCTGTGTGTCAGGTAGGGAGAATTTACGTTTCAAGGTTTTACATTTGTAAAAAAATAAAATATTTCGTTAAGAAAACTACATAAAAAGTATACAATAAATATGAAATTCCATGTGTCTTGTGAAATATCACGTTTCTCTCATTTTGCTACTCGATGAGAAAAACATGATATTTCACTCGACACATTATATATCCTCAATATGTCTTTGAGATCTTGTGATGATAAATGACGAGGTGGGATTAGAGCCCTATTTGGCAACTGCTAATACCAAAATTGAAGTAACTAATTTTTGTTGTTGAAATATTACTATTTATACTGGCAAGACTTGTGAGAATTGTTCAAATGGCCAACATCTTTTTTCTTTCTTTCACATGCAGGTCCATGATATGATCAAGTATGGCTTCACAAAACAGACTCCAAAGCATTTTCCAAGGCTGTGACCCAAAATGGAGTTTTACAATATGTGTGCCGGTTGGGTTACCTCCCTTGAGCCTGGTCTGAAGGTGAACATTGGTCCATTCTGCTCAAGCCACATTTAATATTGCAGAGTGTGTGAGTGAATGAGTGAGTGAGTGAGTGGTTGCCTGTGTGGGTGGACAGGTTGGTGGAGTGAGTGAGTGAGTGAGTGAGTGAGTGAGTGAGTGGTTGCCTGTGTGGGTGGACAGGTTGGTGGAGTGAGTGAGTGAGTGAGTGCCTGTGTGGGTGGACAGGTTGGTGGAGTGAGTGAGTGAGTGAGTGAGTGAGTGAGTGAGTGGTTGCCTGTGTGGGTGGACAGGTTGGTGGAGTGAGTGAGTGAGTGAGTGAGTGAGTGAGTGGTTGCCTGTGTGGGTGGACAGGTTGGTGGAGTGAGTGAGTGAGTGAGTGAGTGAGTGAGTGGTTGCCTGTGTGGGTGGACAGGTTGGTGGAGTGAGTGAGTGAGTGAGTGCCTGTGTGGGTGGACAGGTTGGTGGAGTGAGTGAGTGAGTGAGTGAGTGAGTGAGTGGTTGCCTGTGTGGGTGGACAGGTTGGTGGAGTGAGTGAGTGAGTGAGTGAGTGGTTGCCTGTTTGGGTGGACAGGTTGGTGGAGTGAGTTAGTGAGTGAGTGAGTGAGTGGTTGCCTGTGTGGGTGGACAGGTTGGTGGGGTGAGTGAGTGAGTGAGTGAGTAATTGAGTGGTTGCCTGTGTGGGTGGACAGGTTGGTGGAGTGAGTGAGTGAGTGAGTGGTTGCCTGTGTGGGTGGACAGGTTGGTGGAGTGAGTGAGTGAGTGAGTGGTTGCCTGTGTGGGTGGACAGGTTGGTGGAGTGAGTGAGTGAGTGAGTGGTTGCCTGTGTGGGTGGACAGGTTGGTGGAGTGAGTGAGTGAGTGAGTGAGTGAGTGAGTGAGTGAGTGGTTGCCTGTGTGGGTGGACAGGTTGGTGGAGTGAGTGAGTGAGTGAGTGAGTGGTTGCCTGTTTGGGTGGACAGGTTGGTGGAGTGAGTTAGTGAATGAGTGAGTGAGTGGTTGCCTGTGTGGGTGGACAGGTTGGTGGGGTGAGTGAGTGAGTGAGTGAGTAATTGAGTGGTTGCCTGTGTGGGTGGACAGGTTGGTGGAGTGAGTGAGTGAGTGAGTGGTTGCCTGTGTGGGTGGACAGGTTGGTGGAGTGAGTGAGTGAGTGAGTGAGTGGTTGCCTGTGTGGGTGGACAGGTTGGTGGAGTGAGTGAGTGAGTGAGTGAGTGCCTGTGTGGGTGGACAGGTTGGTGGAGTGAGTGAGTGAGTGAGTGGTTGCCTGTGTGGATGGACAGGTGGGTGGAGTGAGTGAGTGAGTGAGTGATTGCCTGTGTGGATGGACAGGTGGGTGGAGTGAGTGAGTGAGTGAGTGAGTGAGTGAGTGTGCATGGGCGGATACAGCTTTTTTGAAAGGGGGGGTGCACAATTAAGATCTATTTATTGTCTTTGGTGGTAATTTATACAGAAATAAAGATTTTTTTCGAAATAATCTGTATCCGCCCATGGTGTGAGTGAGTGAGTGAGTGAGCGAGCCAGTGAGTTGCCCTCTTCATAACAAGATCTACCCTAAGTATCAAGTCGGTGATCTGAGGTTCGATTGGGGGGAGGAGAACAGGACTCACCTGGAAAGATGTCAAGCAGTTTAAAAGTGAGCTCCATTCTGTCAATAACAGTTGTCTCCCCTTTGGACCTCAGGTTATTTTCTGAAAATGTACATCCACCTTTAGTTACATGTTCTTGACAAATCACATATATTGTGTTTATGATATCACAACAATGTTTCATATTCGATGCACCTGTCTGTCACAAGTGATTATCTAAACCTAGACTTGGTCAATATCTGATGATGTAGATGAAAAGGATTGCGGATGCTAATGTACACGATGAGCTAATCCCAACAGTTAACACGTATTGTTTCATACCTCTTTATGGTTCACACCAAATCATGGTCTAATATTAGCTTCAGTCTCACAATAATCAGATCGTTTACTCTGATATACCTTTCTTTGGACATCTTCCCGAGGCAAGAGAGTTAACTGACCATAAAAGACCAGTTTCAACCCTTGCCGAACAAGGCTGGAATTATGGAGTTACATTTTGGCTGGATTAAAGAGTCTATGCATAGTCCAATCAAAATCATGCAATGAAATCGAAATCTGGTTCGTAAACTGTCGTGTAAATTTCGGTGGATTGCAGGATTTGCAAAGCATGTGCACCACCAGCTCGTTATCAACTGATATTTTCCAAATCTCTACATGTTTTTAATCAAGGTGCTCATGTGTTTTGATGCACTTTGCGATGCAAGACCCTTTTTATCACAATATAGATCTTTATTATCTATCAGATCGTCTTGACTGGGCGCCACCATTTTGTGATATGAGAGGTGGAATCTGATTTGTCTATAGGCTTAGAAGGGATATGACTCGTATTAACAGCTGGTGGCGCTATGATCCAGTCCAGGAATTCCAGCCTCGTTCGGCAAGGGTGGAAGCTGGACTTCTAAAGTCAGTTAACTTCTTGCCTTGGGAAGATGTTGCTTGTAAAGATCTGAGGACACCTTTTTAAGAGGTCGCATCAGGGGAACCTTGACCTTTGATTTCCCTATCCAAACGAAGAATGAGTGGGTTTCTGAGTCAATGAGATTTCAGCTTTTGAAGATGATTCAGCTTCATTTCTTTACCATCTTGATTTGGAAAGTTTGATCTAAAAAAATACAGCTGCAGAACACAAATATACCCTTGAGATAATCTCCTTTGGGGATTGAAATGCTATCACGCTAGAAATGACAGGCCACATAAAATGTCCACAACAATGTAATAGCACACCTTCATATTTTTGCATTCGGAAATCTTTGATGATATTTGTTTTCAAGATAAAGAAGCTAGTCCAATATCATCTCTGAGTGCTTTGCTCACTTACTTAAAAGCCTTGATCCGACTGGCTGATTAGAACGTTTATATGACATGAAGCATGGTCCCTATTGGCTGATTAGAACACTCACCTGACATGACATATGGACCTGATTGGCTGACTAAAACATTCACCTGACATGACTTATCATGGACTCTATTGGCTGACTAGAACATTCACCTGACATGACCTATCATGGACCCTATTGGCTGACTAGAACGTTCACCTGACATGACCTATCATGGACCCTATTGGCTGACTAGAACGTTCACCTGACATGACCTATCATGGACCCTATTGGCTGACTAGAACGTTCACCTGACTTGACCTATCATGGACTCTATTGGCTGACTAGAACGTTCACCTGACATGACCTATCATGGACCCTATTGGCTGACTAGAACGTTCACCTGACATGACCTATCATGGACTCTATTGGCTGACTAGAACGTTCACCTGACTTGACCTATCATGGACTCTATTGGCTGACTAGAACGTTCACCTGACTTGACCTATCATGGACTCTATTGGCTGACTAGAACGTTCACCTGACATGACCTATCATGGACCCTATTGGCTGACTAGAACGTTCACCTGACATGACCTATCATGGACTCTATTGGCTGACTAGAACGTTCACCTGACTTGACCTATCATGGACTCTATTGGCTGACTAGAACGTTCACCTGACTTGACCTATCATGGACTCTATTGGCTGACTAGAACGTTCACCTGACATGACCTATCATGGACTCTATTGGCTGACTAGAACGTTCACCTGACATGACCTATCATGGACTCTATTGGCTGACTAGAATGTTCACCTGTCATGACCTATCATGGACCCTATTGGCTGACTAGAACGTTCACCTGACATGACCTATCATGGACCCTATTGGCTGACTAGAACGTTCACCTGACATGACCTATCATGGACCCTATTGGCTGACTAGAACGTTCACCTGACTTGACCTATCATGGACCCTATTGGCTGACTAGAACGTTCACTTGACATGACCTATCATGGACCCTATTGGCTGACTAGAACATTCATCTGACATGACTGACTAGGGACCCTATTGGCTGACTAGAACATTCACCTGACATGACCTATCATGGACTCTATTGGCTGACTAGTACGTTCACTTGACATGACCTATCATGGAGCCTATTGGCTGACTAGAACATTCACCTGACATGACCTATCATGGACCCTATTGGCTGACTAGAACGTTCACCTGACAAACTGCAAAACAAATATTGGATTTGAACCCATGATTGTAAGATTCTATCAAACCCAAATGACACTAAAGTTAGGTGCCTTCAACGAATAGGCTACACATCCCCTGAAGTTTTTTGGGAGAGTACACCACTGACGGGTCCAACTCTTGGTGTCATTTCTCACCTTCATATACATACTTCATAGCCTCAGTGGCCGCCTCTTTCTTCTGGATGCCAATAGCTATCGTATCTCCGAGGTTGATGGTCCCATGGTACACGCCTTCAGGCTGGGTGAAGACAAATGAGTGAGTGAGTGAGTCAGTCAGGTGGGTTGAATGCTACCTTGAGCATTACCGTATTTCCTCTATAACAAGGTGTCTACTAAGGGCTGGGTCTTAGGGTGAAGGTTTGTTAACAATCAGGTGAGTGGGTGGGTGGCATTGCCGTATTTCTTCTATAACAAGGTGTCTACTAAGGGCTGGGTCTTGGGACGAAGGTTTGTTAACAATCAGGTGAGTGGGTGGGTGGCATTGCCGTATTTCTTCTATAACAAGGTGTCTACTAAAGATTGGGTCTCGGGGTGAAGGTTTGCTAATACGAGTCAGGCCTTCAGGATGGTTGAAGACAAACGAGTGAGTGAGTGAGTCAGTCAGGTGGGTAGAATGCTACCTTGAGCATTACCGTATTTCTTCTATAACAAGTGGTGTCTACTAAGGGCTGGGTCTCGGGGTGAAGGTTTGTTAACAATCAGGTGAGTGGGTGGGTGGCATTGCCGTATTTCTTCTATAACAAGGTGTCTACTAAGGGCTGGGTCTTGGGGTGAAAGTTTGTTAACAATCAGGTGAGTGGGTGGGTGGCATTACCATATTTCTATTATAACAAGGTGTCTACTAAGGGCTGGGTCTCGGGGTGAAGGTTTGTTAACAATCAGGTGAGTGGGTGGGTGGCATTACCATATTTCTATTATAACAAGGTGTCTACTAAGGGCTGGGTCTTGGGGCGAAGGTTTGTTAACAATCAGGTGAGTGGGTGGGTGGCATTACCATATTTCTATTATAACAAGGTGTCTACTAAGGGTTGGGTCTCGGGGTGAAGGTTTGCTAATACGAATCAGGCCTGCAGGATGCTTGAAGACAAACGATTGAGTGAGTCAGGTGGTTGGGTGGGTGGCATTGCCGTATTTCTTCTATAACAAGGTGTCTACAAAGGGCTGGGTCTCGGGGTGAAGGTTTGCTAATAAGAGTCAGGCCTTCAGGATGGTTGAAGACAAACGAGTAAGTGAGTCAGTCGGGTTTAATGCCACTTTGATCAGTACCAACATTTCCTCTTGTGTTCAATCATCACACCAAAGGTCCGGGTTTGAATCCCCCACAGGAGTCCAATGCGTGAGGCCCATTTCTGTTGTCCCCTGCCATGATACTGCTAAGAGCAGCGTAAAACAACACTCACCCACTTACAGCCGGTCTCTACTAAGGGCTGGGTATAAGGCTAAGGAGGGCGGTCGGGTAGCCCAGTGGTTAAAGCGTTCGCTCGTCACGCCAAAGACCTGAGTTCGATTCTCGACATGGGTACAATGTGTGAAGCCCATTTGTGGTGTCCCCCGCCGTGATATTGCTGGAATATTGCTAAAAGCGGCCTAAGACCTCACTCACTATAAGGCTAAAGCTTTGAAATAAGAGCTAGGCCTATCATAAGGGCCTGGGTGACTTTGTACAAAATATCCTTAAGGCTACGACTGTCGTAAGTCTATGTTCAGGTGTTGGAGTAAGGATCACCTTAACGCTACGACTGTCATAAGTCTATGTTCAGGTGTTGGAGTTAGGATCACCTTAACGCTACGACTGTCTGAAGTCTATGTTCAGGTGTTGGAGTTAGGATCACCTTAACGCTACGACTGTCTGAAGTCTATGTTCAGGTGTTGGAGTTAGGATCACCTTAACGCTACGACTGTCTGAAGTCTATTTTCAGGTGTTGGAGTTAGGATCACCTTAACACTACGACTGTCGTAAGTCTTTGTTCAGGTGTTGGAGTTAGGATCACCTTAACGCTACGACTGTCGTAAGTCTATGTTCAGGTGTTGGAGTTAGGATCACCTTAACGCTACGACTGTCGTAAGTCTATGTTCAGGTGTGGGAGTTAGGATCACCTTAACGCTACGACTGTTGTAAGTCTATGTTCAGGTGTTGGAGTTAGGATCACCTTAACGCTACGACTGTCTGAAGTCTATGTTCAGGTGTTGGAGTTAGGATCACCTTAACGCTACGACTGTCGTAAGTCTATGTTCAGGTGTTGGAGTTAGGATCACCTTAACGCTACGACTGTCGTAAGTCTATGTTCAGGTGTTGGAGTTAGGATCACCTTAACGCTACGACTGTCGTAAGTCTATGTTCAGGTGTTGGAGTTAGGATCACCTTAACGCTACGACTGTCGTAAGTCTATGTTCAGGTGTTGGAGTTAGGATCACCTTAACGCTACGACTGTCTGAAGTCTATGTTCAGGTGTTGGAGTTAGGATCACCTTAACGCTACGACTGTCGTAAGTCTATGTTCAGGTGTTGGAGTTAGGATCACCTTAACGCTACGACTGTCTGAAGTCTATGTTCAGGTGTTGGAGTTAGGATCACCTTAACGCTACGACTGTCGTAAGTCTATGTTCAGGTGTTGGAGTTAGGATCACCTTAACGCTACGACTGTCTGAAGTCTATGTTCAGGTGTTGGAGTTAGGATCACCTTAACGCTACGACTGTCTGAAGTCTATGTTCAGGTGTTGGAGTTAGGATCACCTTAACGCTACGACTGTCGTAAGTCTATGTTCAGGTGTTGGAGTTAGGATCACCTTAACGCTACGACTGTCTGAAGTCTATGTTCAGGTGTTGGAGTTAGGATCACCTTAACGCTATGACTGTCGTAAGTCTATGTTCAGGTGTTGGAGTTAGGATCACCTTAACGCTACGACTGTCGTAAGTCTATGTTCAGGTGTTGGAGTTAGGATCACCTTAACGCTACGACTGTCTGAAGTCTATGTTCAGGTGTTGGAGTTAGGATCACCTTAACGCTACGACTGTCGTAAGTCTATGTTCAGGTGTTGGAGTTAGGATCACCTTAACGCTACGACTGTCTGAAGTCTATGTTCAGGTGTTGGAGTTAGGATCACCTTAACGCTACGACTGTCGTAAGTCTATGTTCAGGTGTTGGAGTTAGGATCACCTTAACGCTACGACTGTCTGAAGTCTATGTTCAGGTGTTGGAGTTAGGATCACCTTAACGCTACGACTGTCTGAAGTCTATGTTCAGGTGTTGGAGTTAGGATCACCTTAACGCTACGACTGTCGTAAGTCTATGTTCAGGTGTTGGAGTTAGGATCACCTTAACGCTACGACTGTCGTAAGTCTATGTTCAGGTGTTGGAGTTAGGATCACCTTAACGCTACGACTGTCGTAAGTCTATGTTCAGGTGTTGGAGTTAGGATCACCTTAACGCTACGACTGTCGTAAGTCTATGTTCAGGTGTTGGAGTTAGGATCACCTTAACGCTACGACTGTCTGAAGTCTATGTTCAGGTGTTGGAGTTAGGATCACCTTAACGCTACGACTGTCGTAAGTCTATGTTCAGGTGTTGGAGTTAGGATCACCTTAACGCTACGACTGTCGTAAGTCTATGTTTAGGTGTGGGAGTTAGGATCACCTTAGCGCTACGACTGTCGTAAGTCTATGTTTAGGTGTGGGAGTTAGGATCACCTTAGCGCTAAGATCACTTTGTACAATGGCACCCTGGTCAGCTGCAGCTAATGATCTCTCCCCATAAAGTTTGAATACCTTTACTAAACTAAACCCTCCCTTCTTGTCACAAGCACAGGAAGAACATGGGCCTGGCCCCACATTCACAAAGAGATCTTAGCGCTACAACTGTCATAGGTCAATGTTAAGGTATACATCATCATCTAAGTTTAAAAAATAATTTATACTGTATATGACCGCAGATAAGACAATTTTAAGGACCAGAATAAAGATTCTGTCGAAAGGGGTCGGCTTATGTATGGGTTACACTTTCAAACAAACTTTTTCTGTTGGTAAAAAACTACATCGTACCGCTTCAGGTGAATGAACAACGCTATAACCAACTTTGTCAATGAAAATGTGAAATTTGCGATTGAACATCACCTGACATGATTTACCATTTTGATTGTATTTCCTGTTCTGCTAGGCGTTGTTTTATATGCAGGGATAAAGAATACTGTGTGTATTGTCTCGTAAACTAAGCCGGAAAAAGCAAATCAGCTGTACTCATGTGTTCTCCGAAAATACAGGTGATTACGTTAAAACATACCCAATAATATAACGGAAAAGAATTTTAATGCAATGATAGGAAAAAATAGTATCTTAAATTAATATTTTACTTCAAATAATATATTCTGATATCTAGGGCTGGGACGAGTCCAAATTTACTACCCGGGTACCCAACCCCCTATTACCCGACCCTACCCAGGTACCCACTGCAGGTCTCAGGAGATGTCTCAAAATGTCCGATTGGGAACATTTTTAGCATAGCCCTGGCAAAACGTATTTAGATACACGTATTAAACAATCTGGTCATTCATACACTGAAGTTGAATTAAGTTATATCTTTATTCAACCATATGAAAAATCAGAAGGAATGCACACATTAGTGACTCGTAGTGTAACCATAGAGTTCTAGATAATTTTTGTCATTAAACAATGTATCACGTGACTAACCACGGGTCCGGGTAGTCCTGTGGGTACCTGGGTCCTACTCAGTACCCACTCGACACGGGTACCCGAGTTACCCGTCCCAGGCCTACTGATATCGTGTTATTTTAATTGCAGGTTTTCTATATATCTCGAAAATAATGATAACCATTACCATGGTTACGCGGTAGCACTTTTGTGTATTGTCGGATTCTTTTTTCGCTCACCGTTGAGGTTTCGTGCGATCTCACTATTTCCATTGCAGAAACAATATGTTGACATTTAATCGTCAAATTACAACAAATGTTACTTTTATCGAGGGGGCGGTCGGGTAGCCTGGTGGTTAAAGCGTTCGCTCGCCACGCCGAAGACCCGGGTTCGATTCCCGACATGGGTACAATGTGTGAAGCCCATTTCTGGTGTCCCCCGCCGTGATGTTGCTGGAATATTGCTAAAAGCGGCGTAAAACCATACTCACTCACTTACTTTTATCGAGTCAAAGTATGGCAGATATGATATATGTATCCATTTTCTGTCAACTAAGGTTCGTTTCAAGGTGTCAATAGCGGTAATACAAGCATGGTTTCTGTAAATATTGGTGAGTTGGTAAACACACCTTAGTTGTAACGGAAGTTGTAAGTATCAGATGGACACAGAAATTAATGTAAATAATATTGAATGAAAGTTTGATTTAAATTACTAAAGTAGATTACAAACATAAGTGTTGATATACAACTAAACATTTTTTTTTACCGATGTTGTAATGACAGGATTAACTTGCGTAATTCATTATGGAATTGTTGATATTTTATTACCGATGGCGAGACGTAGTTTTAGGTTGGGAGTCTAGTCAGGACCAAGTTAATACCTTGGCTTATCTATGAGATCGGCTTATGTGCGGTTTTATACGGTAACTATAATAGTAGCAAGACTAAGGGTGTATTACAGTGGCCTGAAAATATTCAAGTCTGGACCAGACACACTAGTAATTGATATCATGTCTTTTGTTTGTTTGTTGTTTAACACCCAACTCACCAGTATTCCAGCTATATGACGGCGATCTGTAAATAATCGAGTCTGGACCAGACATTAAGTGATTGATATCATGAGCACTGATCCCGTTAGTGGCCTCTTATGACAAGCATAGTTGCCTCTTACGACAAGCTTAGTCGCCTCTTACGACAAGCATAATCGCCTCTTACGACAAGCACAGTTGCCTCTTATGACAAGCATAGTTGCCTTTTACGACAAGCACAGTCACCTCTTGGGACAAGTATAGTCGCCTCTTACGACAAGCATAGTCGCCTCTTACGACAAGCACAGTCGCTTTTTAAGAGTCCAAACTTTGTATTGGTGGGGATAAATATTTTAATTAGTCTTATCCTAAATTACAAAAAATGAATACATTGCACATTGTTTAACTTGGTGGTCTTAAATCAGTAACTTTTCCCTAATTTTATGTTCATATATACATAGTAGCTGTAGGGTAGACAGTAGACAGTAGACAGTAGACTGACCACATAAAGTATCTCGCCTGGCTCTTGGATGCACTCTGTTGGCTTCTGATCTGTCGTCAGGTTTGGGTACAAATTTTGAAACCAGTCTAGCTGTCCATATCCTGGGGTCACACCTGTAACACATATCCAGGAAATATAGACACTACACTGTGTGATAACAGAACATACCAGTCTAGCTGTCCATATCCTCGGGACACACCTGTAACACATATCCAGGAAATATAGACACTACACTGTGTGATAACAGAACATACCAATCTAGCTGTCCATATCCTGGGGACACACCTGTAACACATATCCAGGAAATATAGACACTACACTGTGTGATAACAGAACATACCAATCTAGCTGTCCATATCCTGGGGATACACCTGTAACACATATCCAGGAAATATAGACACTACACTGTGTGATAACAGAACATACCAGTCTAGCTGTCCATATCCTGGGGACACACCTGTAAAACATATCCAGGAAATATAGACACTACACTGTGTGATTACAGAACATACCAGTCTAGCTGTAGCTAAGGTTTGTTTGTTTGTTGTTTAACACCATGATCAACAATAATCCAGCTATATGACAGCAGTCTGTAAATAATCAAATCATGAGCATCGATCCACGCAATTGGGATATGATGACATGCATCAACCAAGTCAGCGAGCCTGACCACCCGATCCTGTTAGTCGCCTCTTAAGACAAGCATAGTCATCTTTTACAGCAAGCATTGGCAAATTAGATATGCAAATTAGATAACCGGAAGTGGGACTTTTTTCGCCGGTGCACGTGAGTAGGTATTTACAAACAACATGGATACCTTTGATGTTGAAGACATTATTTCAATTATTCTGCAAAAGTCTGTTCAAGTATTTTGTTTAAAATAATCCGAGGAACTTTTTTTCTCAGCGAAGGAATATGCAATAAAAAAGTTAAGAGGTTGTTTATTTTGGTTCACACGGCTATGGAAAACATGTATCACTACGCACGATCTATACGTAAGATTTTGAAAAGTTGCTGATGTTAATGTTTAATGCAATTATTCCTTAATTGGGGAGCAAAAATGTGAAAATGATATATAGAATTCATCACTCGTGTTTTTTAATATGGGAAATATCAACCTCGTCCCGTTAAATACCGATTAACTAAGACTCGGTTGATATTTCCCATATTAAAAAACACTTGCAAAAGATAGTAAACCACCATGTTTGATTGCGTTTAAAAAAGAAACGAACAAGAAATGGTAATTTGATGGTGATGTATTAGAATCGGATATAAGTTTGAAGTGTCTTGGCGACTGTTTTCAGTCTTGTTTGGAATTGGTTTTGACAAACACAATTTTGAAAAATGTATACTTTCTTTTGTTCTTGAGTATATGTGACATCAACAGCAACAACAGGACACATTGATAAGGGTTAGGGCTGGGACGGGTAACTCAGGTACCCAGGTCGGGTGGGTACTGAGTAGGGCCCGGGTACCCACAGGACTACCCGGACCCGTGGTTAGTCACGTGATATATTGTTCGATGACAAAAATTATCTAGAACTCTATTGTTACACTACAAGTCACTAATGTTCGCATTTCTTTCTGAAAATGCACCCATTCCTTCTGATTTTTCATTTTGTTGAATAAAGATATAACTAAATTCAACTTCAGTGTATGAATGACCACATTGTTTAATACATGTATCTAAATACGTTTTGCCAGGCCTATGCTAAAAATGTTCCCATTCGGACATTTTGAGACATCTCCTGAGACCTGCAGTGGGTACCCAGGTAGGGTCGGGTAATAGGGGGCTGGGTACCCGGGTAGGGTCGGGTAATAGGGGGGCGGTACCCGGGTAGGGTCGGGTAATAGGGGGGTGGTACCCGGGTAGGGTCAGGTAATAGGGGGGCGGTACCCGGGTAGGGTCGGGTCGGGTAATAGGGTGGTGGGTACCCGGGTAGGGTCGGGTAATAGGGTGGTGGTACCCAGGTAGGGTACCCACCTCCCTATTACCCGACCCCACCTGGGTACCCACCGCCTTATTACCCGACCCTACCTGGGTACCCACCACCCTATTACCTGACCCTACCTGGGTACCACCTCCCTATTACCCGACCCTACCCGGGTACCCACCCCACTATTACCCTACCCTACCCGGGTACCCACCTCCCTATTACCCGACCCTACCTGGGTACCCTCCACCCTATTACCCGACCCTACCCGGGTACCCACCCCCCTATTACCCTACCCTACCTGGGTACAACCTCCCTATTACCCGACCCTACCTGGGTACCCTCCACCCTATTACCCGACCCTACCTGGGTACCCACCTCCCTATTACCCGACCCTACCCGGGTACCCACCCCCCTATTACCCTACCCTACCTGGGTACAACCTCCCTATTACCCGACTCTACCTGGGTACCCTCCACCCTATTACCCGACCCTACCTGGGTACAACCTCCCTATTACCCGACCCTACCTGGGTACCCTCCACCCTATTACCCGACCCTACCTGGGTACAACCTCCCTATTACCCGTAATAGGGGGGCGGTACCCTGGTAGGGTCGGGTAATAGGGGTTGGGTACACGGGTAGTAAATTTGGACTCGTCCCAGCCCTAGGAAGCAATTGCCAGAACATAACCTATTACCCTTTGTTTCAATGAGATCAACCGTGTGCATGCACACTGGGTACAAGTATGCCTCGTTGAGACTTTGGGAATGGTCTAACACATTATAATTAGGGGTGTTTGGTTGTTCAGGGTACACAACTAACCGCCTGGGGGGTTCTGGTCAAAGTTGTAGAGGAACCATCGCTTGCGCCCGAAGATGACAGCGTTCCAGGCATCAGCGTGGTTGTGGAAGCTGACCCCGGTGCCGGTAGAGCCCAGGAAAAACAGGCTGTCTTCTAGATCAGTCTGGGGAGGAAACAAACAGAATTGTTGTTGTTATTTCAAGCAAAAGATGCTACAGGGTGGCCGAGTCATCTGAGGCGATGAGTTGCTGATACTGGAAGATGCAAGAATCCTAGATTTGCCTGATTATGTTTCTAGGTTTGTCAGCACCATACCAGAGCCTGAAGGTTTCATTGGAGTGGTAAACATCTAAGACCTGCATCATTTCGAGGTTATTTTCCATGTGAAGCTGACATTTGGTGATTCATGAATGAATGAATGAATGAATGAATGAATGAATGGATGAATGGATGATGGATGATGGATGGATGGATGGATGGATGGATGAAGGAATGAATGGATGGATGGGTAGATGATGGATGGATGGGTAGATGGATGGATGGATGGATGGATGGATGGATGAATGAAGGATGGATGAATGAAGGATGGATGGATGGATGTATGGATGGGTGGATGAAACAGATTCAGGATATTATTTTGAGTATATATTTCACTTAGTTACAAAAGTCAAAATGACAGTTAAAAGAGGTGAGAGTCAATCAAATGCAGAATTTTTGTAATATGTCCATTTTTTTATAATTTAGGAAAATATGAACAAAGTGGTAATTTGCTTGGGGCATTCATATACTTTCCTGCACTGTAGGTATATAAGGATACACTTATTAAGTTTCAGGTTTATGGATCAGCAGATAGCCGCAGAAAACCTCATCAGAAAAGACAAAAACAAGGACTAAAAATCTGTTTTTGATGGCTGATCGATGCTCTACATAAAATATTAAAAACATAAACCGGCATACAAATAGACTATAAAACAAACATTAAATTTTATGATTAACTTGAGGAAAATATGGTGTGAAATCCTCACTTGATGTTATCACAACAATGTAATCTTCAAACAGTCTTCACTTGCACCAAATCTTTTTTTGACCAACCCACTATTGTATCGTATTGCCACACACAGCAATATTCCAGCTATATGACATCACTCTGTAAATAATCGAGTCTTGACCAGACAATCCAGTGACTGATGTCATAAGCATCGATCCACGCAATTGGGATACAAAGACATGCATCAACCAAACCAGCGAGCCTGACCACCCGATCCTGTTAGTTGCCTCTTACAAAAAGGATAGTCACTTTTTACGGCAAGCCGTGGGTTGCTGAAGACCTATTTTACCCCGGATCTTCACGGGTCATCCAACCCACTAACAGTAGTAAGAAAACAAAAAAAAAATATATGGATTTACATCTGTTTGAACCCTAGAATTAATTCTAAAGAAATCTGAAAACTGAAAAAATACATGCATAGCTTAACTTATTCTGTCATACAGACCCTGATACAAATATATCCAATGCAGCCCATGCAAGTCTATAATGTTTGGCAAGTCTAGATTTCTCCAGTATCTGAAAATGAAGAGTCTGGGCTCCTTTTTATTATATTTGTATTAAGATATTTTAAAAACTGTTTTTTATCCTTAAGATAAGTTCATTTCAGAGACTAGAAGTCAGTCTAGGCCTAACTGTTTAGAGGTGAGGTGAAATTGGGTTTAACGTCGCGTCCAAGATTATTGCGCTTATATAGCGACGTGCATGTACGTGTGTGTGTGTGTGTGTGTGTGTGTGTGTGTGGCTGCTTGTACTAGTCCGGACTGATGCCGATTTATAGTGCTAGCACACTGAGATACCATGCCGCAGTTTAACATGGATAGACACAGTATACTGACTCAGAGCCAACCAGTCCTTGTTTTAGCCCTTTAATGCCGAGCCCGAGACAGGGTAACAACAAGTACCATCTTTTACCGTATTTTGGTATGGCGCGGCCGGGGATCAAACCCCGGACCTTCCGCTCTCCGGGCGGACGCTCTACCACTAGACCACGGAGGCGGTCTCTAACTGTTTAGAAATGTATCAGGTAGTTAAGACAGGAATATTACTGTTGAAGATCTGTCGGGAGATACGAACAATATTGCACGATCGGGAAGCAGGTATAAACAACTGTGCTGTTATCTTGCCTGCAAGTGTGCAGCTCACATTAAGTAATATGGATGCCAGTTACACTAGGATACTTGAGGCAGTTTATCACCTTTATCTGGCTTACACTGCTCCTGCCCCCTGTCACAGGGGAACACTGTTCTGGCAGTAATGGGGGGAACAAGTGCTCTAGACACATCACTGATCAGCTGCGCCCGGTAGACTCATTACCGCTCACTCTGATTACAACAATCTTATCATGCTGTAGGAGTGGTGGTATAACTTCTTGCACCAAGTCTGTGCATATGAGAGACTTCAGAATGGTGTTTTGTCTCAGATGTAGACATTTGGAGAATGGGATTATGTATGTATGTATGTATGTGTGTGTGTGTGTGTGTGTGTGTGTGTGTGTGTATTTATTGATTGACTGACTGACTGACTGACTGACTGACTGACTGACTGACTGACTGACTGACTGACTGACTGACTGACTGACTGACTGACTGACTGATTGATTGATTGATTGATTTATCTATGTATGTATTTATCTATTTATTTCGCAAGTATGCGTCAGATTTAGACATTTGGAGAAGGGATTTATTTATTTATTTATTTATTTATTTCCCAAATATGTGTCAGATTTAGACATTTGCAGAAGGGATTTATTTATTTATTTTATTTTATTTTATTATTTTATTTCATGACATTTCAGAAAAAGTACATTTTTTGACATAGGAATGTACTCAACAAGTGGGTTTATTACCAGACCATTTTTCCATGATCAAAGTTTAATAGTTAAAATATATTCTTCAAAATGTAAGAAGTTTGAGAAGAACATATGAACTTTTGACTTGTTTAAATCATACCAGGTAGGAGAAAAAGACATGGGTAAAGACTATACTCAAAGTGGAACAGAATTCCTAAAAGACAATTCTGATGTACATTTCTATTTTAGCTTTATGGTTTCTTTGTTCTTTGTTAAACGCGGCACTTGGCAATATTCCAGCTATATGATGTCGGCCTGTCAATAATTGAGGGCCTGGGGTCATGTGATTTAAAAAAAAAATTATTATCTGTTTTGAAAAACCTAGAAAAAAATTCAAGTTTTACAAGAAAAGAAAAATTGTTGACTGTATAGGCCGGATGTTGTAAGAACTAAAGTGATTTGGGTAAAACAAGCTAGATGTTGTGAGAACTAAAGCAGTTTGGGTAAAACCAAATTGTTGACTGTATAGGCTGGGTGTTGTGAGAACTAAAGTGGTTTGGGTAAAACAAGCTAGATGTTGTGAGAACTAAAGCAGTTTGGGTAAAACCAAATTGTTGACTGTATAGGCTGGGTGTTGTGAGAACTAAAGTGGTTTGGGTAAAACAAGCTAGATGTTGTGAGAACTAAAGCAGTTTGGGTAAAACCAAATTGTTGACTGTATAGGCTAGGTGTTGTGAGAACTAAAGCAGTTTGGGTAAAACCATATTGTTGACTGTATAGGCTGGGTGTTGTGAGAACTAAAGTGGTTTGGGTAAAACAAGCTAGATGTTGTGAGAACTAAAGCAGTTTGGGTAAAACCATATTGTTGACTGTATAGGCTGGGTGTTGTGAGAACTAAAGCGGTTTGGGTAAAACCAAACTGCTCCCCCTTCAAAGATATATTGTTTGGATATCTTGAAGAGCTGGCCCAAATCATATTCTGTCATGAACAAAAATCAAATCTCTCCTTTTAAATGGTTGGTCCTGAAGTGACAGATGATTGCATAACCTTAAAAATAAAACAGGATAGAATAGAGATAATCAATGTGAATATATTTCAAAACTTCGTGCAATAAATCATATGAAACAGATCATGTTATATAACAATTCAAGCCAGAGCTTAGCTGATTGATTTTGACAAGAGTATTCAAACATGCCATGATGTACTGATGGAAAACAAGTAGAGGAACAGTGAAACATATGGGAAATAAGACCGACTGTCAGTACGTTTGAAATAGTGCGCATACAAATTCAACACGTCAGATTCAAATGTTGAGATGTGTTTGTGTGCATTGTCTCCAGCGCGTATTTTGTACTTGGAAACCATTGATAGCATATCATGTTACTGTGTCTATAGCTAAGTGTTCCCTGATGGAAAACAAGTAGGAGAACAATGTTCCCTTAAGTGTTAAGCGTTCCCTTATTTATTTATTTCAGAATAAATCACTTTTCATATGTAACACGGTATTAATTTGCTCTGTCAATAACAATGTTTTTTACTACATTCTTATTTGCCAAACTTTACTGGACCGCCTCCATGGTCTAAAGGTAGAGCGTCGCCCAGAGAGAGGAAGGTCCGGGGTTTGATCCCCGGCCGCATCATACCAAAAGACGTTAAAAGAAGGTACTTGTTGTTACCCTGCCTGGGGCTCGGCATTAAGGGGCTAAAACAAGGACTGGTCGGCTCGGAATCAGTATACTGTGTCTGAGTGGGGTATTCATGTGAAACTGCGGCATGCACTATAAATCGGCATCAGTCCGGACTAGTACAAGTAGCCAAACACACACATACGTGCATGCACGTCACTATATAAGTGCAATAATCTTGAACGCCACGTTAGACACAATTTCACCATACTTTACCAAACTTAACTCCCAAACAAAATTTGGGTATTTTTGTCAAAAAAATATGGTTAAATCCAAAATCACTGTAACAATGTAAAGCAGTTTTAAGTCATGAAAAACATAGTGCATAAAATAAATAGAACCAGAAATGTGTATATATGTGAGTGGTCATTCAGGTCTGGAACACTCCTAAAGGGGCATTAAACCCTCCCCCTCACTCATCCCTCCCCCTCACTCATCCCCTCCATTACTCATCCCTCCCCATTACTCATCCCTCCCCCTCACTCATCCCTCCCCCTTACTCATCCCCCCAATTACTCATCCCTCCCCCTTACTCATCCCTCCCCCTCACTCATCCCCCCATTACTCATCCCTCCCCATTACTCATCCCTCCCCCTCACTCATCCCTCCCCCTCACTCATCCCTCCCCCTCCCCATCCCTCCCCTCCCCATCCCTCCCCCTCACTCATCCCCCCAATTACTCATCCCTCCCCCTCACTCATCCCTCCCCCTCCCCTCCCTCCCCTCCCCCTTACTCATCCCCCCAATTACTCATCCCTCCCCCTCACTCATCCCCCCAATTACTCATCCCTCCCCCTCACTCATCCCTCCCCCTCCCCTCCCTCCCCTCCCCCTTACTCATCCCCCCAATTACTCATCCCTCCCCCTCACTCATCCCCCCATTACTCATCCCTCCCCATTACTCATCCCTCCCCCTCACTCATCCCTCCCCCTCCCCATCCCTCCCCTCCCCATCCCTCCCCCTCACTCATCCCCCCAATTACTCATCCCTCCCCCTCACTCATCCCTCCCCCTCCCCTCCCTCCCCTCCCCCTTACTCATCCCCCCAATTACTCATCCCTCCCCCTCACTCATCCCCCCAATCACTCATCCCTCCCCCTCACTCATCCCCCACATTACTCATCCCTTCCCTCCCCCTCACTCACCCCCCCCATTACTCATCCCTCCCCCTCACTCATCCCCCCATTACTCATCCCTCCCCCTCACTCATCCCCCCCAATTACTCATCCCCCCATTACTCATCCCTCCCCCTCACTCATCCCTCCCCATTACTCATCCCTCCCCCTCACTCATCCCTCCCCCTCACTCATCCCCCCCAATTACTCATCCCCCCATTACTCATCCCCCCCCCTCACTCATCCCCCCATTACTCATCCCTCCCCCTCACTCATCCCCATTACTCATCCCTCCCCATTACTCATCCCTTCCCCTCACTCATCCCTCCCCATTACTCATCCCTCCCCTCACTCATCCCCCACATTACTCATCCCTTCCCTCCCCCTCACTCATCCCTCCCAATTACTCATTCCTCCCCCTCACTCATCCCCCCCATTACTCATCCCTCCCCCTCACTCATCCCTCCCCCTCACTCATCCCCCCCAATTACTCATCCCCCATTACTCATCCCTCCCCATTACTCATCCCTCCCCCTTACTCATCCCCCCATTACTCATCCCTCCCCCTCACTCATCCCCCCCATTACTCATCCCTCCCCCTCACTCATCCCCCCAATTACTCATCCCCCCCCTCACTCATCCCCCCATTACTCATCCCTCCCCATTACTCATCCCTCCCCATTACTCATCCCTCCCCCTCACTCATCCCCACAATTACTCATCCCTCCCCCTCACTCATCCCCCCATTACTCATCCCTCCCCTTCACTGATCCCCCCATTACTGATGCCTCCCCTTCACTCATCCCCCCATTACTCATCCCTCCCCATTACTCATCCCTCCCCCTCACTCATCCCTCCCCATTACTCATCACTCCCCCTCCCTCATCCCTCCCCCTTACTCATCCCTCCCCCTCACTCATCACTCCCCCTCCCTCATCCCTCCCCCTTACTCATCCCTCCCCCTTACTCATCCCTCCCCCTCACTCATCCCTCCCCCTCACTCATCCCCCACATTACTCATCCCTCCCCCTCACTCATCCCTCCCCCTCACTCATCCCTCCCCATTACTCATCCCCCCCATTACTCATCCCTCCCCCTCACTCATCCCCCCCATTACTCATCCCTCCCCATTAGTCATCCCTCCCCCTTACTTATCCCCCCCATTACTCATCCCTCCCCCTTACTCATCCCCCCATTACTCATCCCTCCCCCTCACTCATCCCTCCCCCTAACTCATCCCTCCCCCTCACTCATCCCCCCAATTACTCATCCCTCCCCCTCACTCATCCCCACAATTACTCATCCCTCCCCCTCACTCATCCCTCCCCATTACTCATCCCTCCCCATTACTCATCCCTCCCCCTTACTCATCCCTCCCCCTCACTCATCCCTCCCCATTACTCATCCCTCCCCATTACTCATCCCTCCCCCTCACTCATCCCCACAATTACTCATCCCTCCCCCTCACTCATCCCTCCCCATTACTCATCCCTCCCCCTCACTCATCCCTCCCCATTACTCATCCCGTATACTTACATCTACAGTGAGAAATGATGGAAGGTGGAGGGTGTCGGACAGGTCAGTGTCATCGTAGAACGCTCGATCAAACACGTACCTTGAAACACAAGAGAGAAATACAGTGAACAAGTCAATAACAAAGTAGAATGTAGCAAACTGTCAAAAAAGGCACGGTCTGGCAACACCCTCTCTGTGCTCATGGATTTTACAAATGTTTTACAAAATTCTTAATTTTCCTTACCATTAAGCAGACACACGGAGCTGTTGCCCCACTCTGACACACAGAGCTGTTGCCCCACTCTGACACACACAGCTGTTGCCCCACTCTGATACACACATCTGTTGCCCCACTCTGACACACAGAGCTGTTGCCCCACTCTGATACACACAGTTGTTGCCCCACTCTGACACACACAGCTGTTGCCCCACTCTGATACACACATCTGTTGCCCCACTCTGACACACAGAGCTGTTGCCCCACTCTGACACACACAGCTGTTGCCCCACTCTGACACACAGAGCTGTCGCCCCACTCTGACACATGCAGCTGTTGCCCCACTCTAACACACACAGATGTTGCCCCACTCTGACACACACAGCTGTTGCCCCACTCTGACACACACAGTTGTTGCCCCACTCTGACGCATGGAGCTGTTGCCCCTGCTCTGACACACACAGCTGTTGCCCCACTCTGACACACAGAGCTGTTGCCCCACTCTAACACACACAGATGTTGCCCCACTCTGACACACAGCTGTTGCCCCACTCTGACACACACAGTTGTTGCCCCACTCTGACGCATGGAGCTGTTGCCCCACTCTGACACACACAGCTCTTGCCCCACTCTGACACATGGAGCTGTTGCCCCACTCTGACACACACAGCTCTTGCCCCACTCTGACGTTGCCCCCGCTCTGACACATGGAGCTGTTACCCCCACTCTGACACACACAGCTCTTGCCCCACTCTGACACACACACAGCTGTTGCCCCCACTCTGACACACACACAGCTGTTGCCCCACTGACACACACATCTGTTGCCCCCATTCTGACACACACACACAGCTGTTGCCCCACTCTGACACACACAGATGTTGCTCCACTCTGACACACACAGCTGTTGCCCCCACTCTGACACACAAATACAACATGTAACACGGTATTCCATTGCCATGCCAAGTGACAAGTTTTTCAAATTTGGGACATGCTACTTATCAGGACGGGCAGTGAATAGTCCAGAGGTTTTCCCAATCCCACAATCTTTGCCATGTAGGTTTTTTTTGTAAAACGATTTTAAATCCATCTTAACAAAACAATTATTTCATTTTAGGCGGAAACAAACAGAGACCATGATGTAAACCAATCTCATTAAAATCAGATCTTAGCTCTCGCTATCGCTAAACAAAGATCTCAGGACATCCCATTACGGGTCACGTCAGACCGACCTTGCGTGAACTTTAGCCGACCAATGGAATGACCAAGCAGAAGGCAGCTTTCTCATGCTTTAAGGCACAAATTTCAAATTGGCACTACGCTTCGAAACATATTTTGACAAATTCTGGATTACAAATTTGAAACCTGAACAAAAAATCCATTCTGGAATGGCTAATAGATGGCATAGATTGTAAGGATTCAGTTGTTAAATCCGTAACTATCGTTCTGAATACCCTGTGTTAAAGTTTTAGAGATTGCATGATCAGAAATCACATTCCGACTGTCACTTTCATAATCTGGTAAGTGACGAACTGATTGGTCGGATGAAAGGTCGTTCTGACGTGACCCCTAATGGGATGTCTTCAGATCTTTGTTTAGCGATAGCGAGAACAAAGGTCTGATTTTAATGAGACCATGATGTAAACTCACTTGGTATTATAGGCAAGTGAGTTAAAAGAGTTTAATGATGGTGATAGTCTGCTAGACTGGGTACCCGGTAGGATGACATGGTAATGTAACTCTAAACCTCATCAGGACCTTACAGGCAACTGGTTGTTTACTTCAGGGAGACGTAAACGAAAATCAGTGCACACATCCATTGACCCAGATAACAATGTGAGTGAGTGAGTGAGTGGGTGGGTGGGTGAGTGAGTGAGTGAGTGAGTGAGTGAGTGAGTGAGTGAGTGAGTGAGTGAGTGAGTGAGTGAGTGAGTGAGTGAGTGAGTGAGTGAGTGAGTGAGGTTTTACGCCGCTTTTAGTAATATTCCAGCAATATCATGGCAGGGGACACCAGAAATGGGCTTCACACATTGTACCCATGTCAGGAATCGAACCCGGGTCTTCGGCGTGAAGAGAGAACGCTTTAACCACTAGGCTACCCGACCGCCCCAGATAACAATGTATTCACGCTTGAACAGACATGTGTATGGAGTTTAGTGGCATATAAGAGGCCTTATGATGATGATGTTTGCTGTTTAACACTGCATTTAGCAATATTCCAGCTATATGACGGCGGTCTGTAAATAATCGAGTCTGGACCAGACAATCCAGTGAATGACATCATGAGCATTGATCCACGCAATTGGGATACGATGTCAGGCATCCTTATTATTAATATAATTGGTGATGGTATAATGATATATGTACAACTATGAATAAGGCTAGCCCCTACCATGTATACTGAACAGGTGCAATACACTCTGTAACACCTGCCAGAAGGTGGGATAAAGGGACCTGTCAGCAAAAGGACCAGAAGAGGATTATTAATTATCTGCTCTGCAGCTTCGATTAGAACAGACATGTTTATGCTGTATAATCTGGCTGTTGACAGGTTCGGAACATATATCACCAGCAGATTAAAGGAGGACTTTGACATGTTGTCAGCGAATAGGGAAGGCATTTAACACTTGGAAACAGTCCTTGATGCATAGGGTCATAAATATAGTTTCTGGGTCAAAATAGGTTCCAGGTTTCCTTTGCTTGTGGTTCACTGAGTTGGGGATTATGAATTTTTACAAATTTCAGTTATCAGCTTAATGTAGGAGAAAACTTTGATTTTTACTTCTAATTATTTTTAAGATGTGATACAATATCCATTTTTTAAAAAATATTTTATTTAAAAAAGCTGTTTATTTATTTGATGGATGGGATACAGAGCAGGGATGATTGTAGGACTCCATATATGGTCTTTTGTATAAATTGAAGTGAGCGTGTGAATGTTTGTTGTGTAATGCTGTACTCAGTATGAGGATGAGTTGGGTTTAACGCCGCTTTTAACAGGATTCCAGTTATATCGCGGCGTGTCAGCTTAATGTGGGAGGAAAGCCCGAAGTGATGCAGGTCTCAGACGTTTACCACTTCGGTGGAAACCAACGAGCACGGGTATGGTGCTGACAAACCTAGAAACATAATCGGGCGAACCTGGATTCGAACCCACAATCATAGGTTTCTGGTGCGCCCAAGAGACGCAACTCTGTACAGTGAATTGCGGCGTCTCAGTGAGGCAGGACATGTTGTTGTGTCGGGTGGTCGGGTAACCTAGTGGTTAAAGCGGTCGCTTGCCACCCCGAAAACCCAGGTTGAATTCCCCACATTGGTACAGTAAGTGAGGCCATTTCTGGTGTCCCCCGCCATGATATTGCTGGAATATTGCTAAAAGCGGCGTAAACCCATACTCACTCACTCACTCACTCGTTGTAGTGAGGTAGGTGGGGGTGAAACTCAACTTATCAATCATAACCTTACAAAAAATATACCTAAGAACTCAACATATCTTACAACCAACTCTTGATTAACATGAAAATATACAGAATAGTTTTATTTTCCTGAGAATGAAAGTGTTTGTTTAAAATCACAAACAAACACGGCTTAAACATGACTACCGTATTCCATGTAATAAGCGCCCAGGGCGCTCTCAAAATTAGAAATAGGGGGCTCTTATTAGAATATTATTTTGGTGAAAAAAAACAGAGCTGAAAGATAAATTTTGTGGTTTATGCTGACAGCCTGAAATGTTTATTTACTGATATATTTTTCCAAAATTTAATTGCCCATTATTAAGGGTGCATACAACACACGAGTGTGTATTATACACGAACAAAACAGTCTTGTGATCAATCGGAAGGGGTGCTAATTGGGATTGTTCACAAGCCAATATATTAGCAAATATCGCCGTGGGCGCTTATTGGAGTGTGGCGCATATTACGTTGAATACAGCATTTTCATTCAAAGCACATTTTCATTTAATTTCATCTCTCAAATAAAATCCAAGAATACGCAGAGAATAAGGAATACTTCTTGACTGGCATGCCTATCAAATAATAATATCACAAACATTTAAAATGATGTCCCAAAGTGCATAAATCCTTTTGACAACCAGACAGAAAATGTAGCCAGTTCTGAGATGATTGTTCTTACAAATCAATAATATATATTTCAGAAAGGAATACCAGCATCAGACTAGCAATCAGATTACAAACTCTCTCCTGCAAAATCCCAAATCCTATATATACAACTCAACATTTCATAGGGATCAGCTGTATGGTGCATCAGGCACTGATAGGAACATCCCTAACAAACTGTGTGTAACATAGGAACACCAGGGGTGTCTCCAGCCAGTGAGGTCTGGAACGGAATACCGGTACCTTCATGTATTTGTTTCTTATCCAGTGAAATCAAACCCCAGCGATAGATGATCAGCAAACAGAATACAACTCTAATTGTTGATAAAAGCTAAAAGGTTTTCTTGTTGAGGAACCACTTCAACAATAAACATGATAGGGGCAGTTTATTGAACTTAGGGTGTGGGAGGTTGTTGTACCATGCACGGTCACAGCAAAGTGGCTTGCTAATTGGGCACATGCTGGTTCAGATCAGCAAGTGAGTTGTTCAACCCCCTATTGAACAGAATTTAAGTTGTATCAGTCTGTGTGCTTAATGTTGAATGGAAAAGTAAAGTGATACAGGTCCCAGATTTTACCCTTTTGTGAGTGAGTGAGTGAGTTGGGTTTAACGCCGCTTTTAACAGTATTCCAGTTTTATCAGGGCGTGTCAGCTTAATGTGGGAGAAAAGCCCCAAGTGATGCAGGTCTCGGACATTTACCACTTCGGGTGGCAAGGGTGGCCCAGTCGTCTAAGGCGCCGCAATTCGCTGTGCAGAGTTG